TTTGGAAAGGAACAATTAATCACTATAATATAATTTTTCATAGACGATCGTAAGCTTAAAATAGTGGAATTAGGAATAATACCGACTTTAGCCAAATTGATTGATGAATCAAGTTCTCTACACGAAAGTGAGACAAAATACTGGTCTTTAATGGTTATACATCAACTGACACTGTGTGGTAAAAATCCTTCCAATCGCGATCCCGTTATACAAAGGCAAACTATTCGCTTAGTTATAGAAAAGATTCACTCCCAATTAATAAAAGAAGGATTCATATCTATTCTAGCCAACATGGCATGGCAAACATTCGGTAGTTCCACGATGCCAAAATATTGTTTGCAAGGTTTAGTAAGAATAATTTCTAACATGAGTTTTGAGGGTAAATATTGAAGTTATTCGAAACTTGATTCCAAAGCCTTTTTACAGAAAACAATTAAAAATTAAATAATAGATTCCAGGAAAGAACTTACGAAATTATTAGATTGTAATATAATTCGACTTCTCTCGGCATGTCTAAGGAACAGTAAGCTAACCATTTCTAAAATTATCGATTTTTATTGAACATCACCCATTTTAGTAAACTATTGATTTCAAAGGTATTGAGAATTCGGATAAAGACGAACTTCCGTACTGGTCCATGAGGTTACTACACGAATTTGTTGTCAAAAGTTAGTTGAACGTATTAATATATATCTATTTATGATCACATTAAGTACTTCATTCACTAATTGATACAACTTCAGATATTGGGAGAGATAATTTTCGCCAAATGAAAGGATTGATTAAATTCATGTCACACTTACTTACGATCGAAGACCCTTACATATCTAGAATAATATTAAGTTCATTGAAGTATTTATCCCATGATAGCGGTTAGTGATGGATAAATTGTAACGTTCCCATTTATAATTATGACTTTTTGATTGATTATTTATAAAATCAGAAAACTTTCGGGAGGAAATGATTCTTTCAGGTATCACTCGAAAGATCATTAAATGCTTGAATTCACAAGATAATAATCTCCTTCACTGGAGTTTGATAGTTCTGCAGGATTTGGCATATCATCGTGAGTGTTGAACAATCAATTTGTAGTATTTGTTTATGTCCGTCTTTGATTATTAACTACTTCATTCATTTTATTTTAGCTGAATCCCATCAGGATTTTTTCATATCTGGAGGATTAGCAAGCTTAATTGTTTTGGCGGCATCAGATAAACGTTTATATGTTGCAAGGATTTTCTCTTCAATTTGCACTTCATGTGATTATTTCTTCATTGCTATTTGTTTGATGTTAAAATTTTCGCGCTTGTTGCGTATAATAATGCTTATTATTATTTCTTCGTACCTTATCGTAATATAGCAAATTTTCACAATAAGATCGTAAATGAACCTGGATTTATTGATACCATACTCAAAATGCTTGAGGACGAGAACGAACATGATGTTCAATACGCAGCTGCTATTGCATTATATAATTTATCAACTATGTCAAGTAAGCTTGAACGAGGAAACATATTACTTGAACCATTGTTCTCTATTATTAAACAAGTGTCTTTCACGTTTTAGATGTTACGGCACGTTTTCTAATAAAATCAAAATGTGTCGACATATTAACGAATGTATTATTTAATTGTGGAAATGATAAGTTACAAATGACTTGTGCGAAGACGCTTTTGGTATTAGCATTAAAAGGTTTGAGTATACATCATCTGAGTAATTTTTGTGATCCGAACGTTTTTTGACATATTATTATACTTCTTTAGAAAGGGATCTATTTCCCAAGCTTACTTTGGACATAGTCGATCCATTAATTAAATACATTCTTAAGACGGGAGAAGAGACTATAAATTCATTTTATTCGAGCCCTCACAGTTCTCGGAATAATATCACCTCATTAAAAAATCACAATTGTAAAAGGTCATCAGGGCGTAGTATTTTCACTAATACACCAATGGATTACAGATCTTCAGTCTCGAAATCGACATCATCCGATCGACTTTTAGGATGCCTTGAATCTCTTTTGATATTTATTCAAAACAATAATGTCTATGAAAGCATAGGGGAGAATTCAAATAAAGATGATTTGATACTAAGTTTAGTGAAACTATTGTTGGAACTCATCTTGCAACCTGCCGTCGAATCATGGATCAAAAACCTAATCGATAAGAAATCAACATTTTCGATTAATGAATTGTTACTAAGGTCTAGTGAAATAAATCGCACGAGAAAATTTAGATTTTCATGGTTGGCCTTCTGTAATACTGCACCTGCACGAGAACATGGAGAGAATAATTTACAACGACCAACAGTAACGAAGGATAATTTGAGCTTATTGTCGGATAGCGAGGATTTACGAAAATTAAAAGTATTGTTGTCAAAAAGTGCAGCCAGCTTGCTCACTGCTCTTACTTATTACTATCGTGAGTGATATGAAATGCTTTTTATCGGTTATTTTAAATTGTATAATATTAATCCCATAAAAATTAGCATTTATTCGGGACTTCATTGTTGAAAATGACACGTTTTTCGGTGCTTTGATAAAGCTATGTCAAGAATGTCCTTCTCTTACCGAAAGTGTCGTTTCATTTATAGCTTTATTCTCTATTGAAGGTGTTATAATATATGATTTTATCCTGCCATGTTTCATAATAATTTGACATTCTAATAACGTCGTATATTTGTGTTTTTCTAGGTGGCCCCTATTCCTTGGGAATAAAAATGCTAACAATGGCGACTGTATGGAAAGTGTTGCATAGGACACATTCACCCATAATTCGCTTTTACGGAAATCTGTTTTTATATTACATGAGTCAACCGTGGCCCGTCGAAGAGGAAGAATCACGTCTCTCAGATTTGTTTACATGCTATTGTATGTTGAATATTACAGATTGTACGAGTCAGATAGTGTTATCCGGTGATATGTTTGAGGTAAATACTACATTTAATATAAAGAAAATTTTTTGATCACGCTGTACTATTCTTCATTAGTACTCATATCTTCATTTTAGTGTCGAAATGATTCACATAGATTTGAAAGTATCCGGGCCACTCACTCTATCTCAGAGGATCGTTATGCGTACGAAGTAATATTGTGTACTGACGGATTAATACAAGTAGGTTGGGCTACCAAGGATTGCGTGTTTGATCCAGAAAATGGTAGAGGTGTTGGTGATGATAAACATTCGTATTCCTACGATGGTCATCGCAAAAGGAGATGGCATGATCAAGAAAATAACGTGTGTAACAACTGTTTCTTCGCATTCTTAATTTTTTCCTCGGCACCACAAAAAGTGATGTTTTTAACAATTTTTTTTAAAATTAGAATGGATACGGCGAGACTTGGCTTATTGGAGATATTATAACTTGTGCAATCGATGTGAATGAAGGCATAATAACTTTTTATAGAAATGGTGAAAGTATGGGTGTTGCTTTTAGTGACAAAAAAATTTGTACCGGAGGTCCATGGTTTCCTGTTAGTTTAGATATACTTGATATTACTGTATGAAACCAATAATCACATTATGCTAATAGTATATAAATTCTTTTAAATAGGCATTGTCACTTTCATCAAATCAAGGCTGTCGTGTTCATTTTGGTAGCATTTTAGATCCTATCAAGTAAGAAGCTACAAATTCACAAGTTTCAATCATCATGTACTTATCGATTATTTATTCATTTGATTGATTCAAATTTTACATAATTGCGAAGATACCTACCTAATGAATATTTACCAGTTGCTTCCGTCGTTCCAAGGTTTGAGTTTAACCACTCATCTCTTTCATCCATTATTACCGATGGTGAAGATAATGATAATAATGAAATTCGCAGTACCGACAAGTTGTGTTCACGGATAAAATCATCCGCGGAAAAACAAAAATTAGATTCCCTTGAGGTCTCGACTGTGGCTAGTTCTACGTTGACGTCTCAGCCAGCCGGATCTATTCCGGGTGTAATTAATCAGAAACAACCAGAGATGACTACTAGTTTTGGTTGTACGCTTTTTGATACTGATGTCACCTTTGTTCCCCTGTTATATTACGAAGTTGAGGTAGGATTGAAAAAAATGGACTCACAAAGGTTAACATTAATTGTCTTAATATACGTTTATAGATATAGAATTTCATGGTTTGGTTGCTTATCGACTTTTTTATTAGATGTTTTCAAGTTGGATTAACTAAGGGTTTAATGTCAACATATCTTCTATGCGGTTATTCGAACCATTGTTTCTTGGTTTCTTTTCGTTTTCATAAAAAATTCGAGAATCCTATCGATTTCGACACATGGTTAGTAGGACTTTTGGAAACCCGAATAGAAAAGAATGATGACTTAAAAATTGAATATCAAGGTCAGGAGGCCTTCGTTAAAATGTATACTAACTTAAGGCTCAACGATGGTGATTGTATTGGTTGGGGTGCCTTTGATTCGAATGAGGTATGCATCGATAGAAATTGTATAAAACCAAATGTTTGATTTGTTTAATTCATTTTTTTTTCTTCTGTAATTAAGCCTCGATTGACCGAATATAAGTACCTTGATTCTGAAAAGATTTTGTTGAAATGCTTTTTCACGTTGAATGGTAGTATAATAGGTAATAGGTACAATCTATTTGTTCTTTTGCTTTGGTTTTATCAATCAAAATTAAATTATTATTAATCAACGCACAGAAAACGGCATAACTGACGAATTATTTTCACAAAAAAAATTCGAATCAGCGCATGAATTCATTTTTCCATGGATTCGTAACTTGCCACATTGCGTACCATCCTTTGGAGTTATCAAAGGCGAAAAACCCACATTTCGATTCAAAAAAGCGAATGACAGGCATTCCGTTCGCGCAATGTCTGAGTACATGACCTGGTATACTCAAATATGGTGGAAATCTCATGAAATATAGCTTATTTAAATGGCTACTTAGAGAATGCCTGTAATTTTGGAATTTTAATTAGAATATTTTTTATACGGAATAGACTTGATTTTATTTTTTATAAAAAAAACTATTTAATTTTAAAGTCTAATCTAAATAATAATTCGAATAAATAAAAAATAGGGGGAAATATAATAAAGTTGAAATTATGAATGAATAAGAAAAAACATCTTGCAAAGCTCAAGCTATATTTCAATTTAATAATAGGTCAAAGTAAGAAAAATAATTAACAAAAAAGTTTTGAAACTATTCACTAATTAAATAAAGCAATAATTTTAAAAGGATATGGTTTGAAGAAAATTAACAATAAAGAACTTGGATTTTTTTTGATTACTTAAATATTCTTTTTTTTTTTTTTAATCCTGCAATCAGATTGGTGTCATTTATTTATTAAATTATAAAGAACCATTACAAGTTGAGAATGTATACAAAGTATAAATTTTCTCGACCCAACTTACCTGTTGACAGCTGAAACCTCTAGATGTGATTTATGGGAGTGATATATTGTTTTCCTAAAGAATGGAATTAAGATCCCAAACTTCCAATAGGATCAAAACCCGCAGATCACCTCTACAGTCATGACCATAAATTCAAATTGTGTCACCTCCCTCTTGTAGTAACTATACAAGGAGAAAAAGAAATAGAAGGAATTTTTTGAACAAAAGAAAAAAAAAAAACTATTGTCTATTCTAACTATTATTGAAAAGGTTATCTCTATAAACTTCAAAATCCAAGCTCCTTATAATTCCTTACTTTTCACCACCTGTGGCCAGTCAAACTGTTTAATTTTCATTGGAGTAGTCAATGTCCAAGAATGTTTAAGAGCACTTTCAGAAAAGTATTTCTTGAGACTTTATGCTTGAAAACTTCTAATCAAAAAAAATATTGATTTTCTATTGTTGATTTCTCTCTTAAGCCATATCTTCTGGAATTATTGCTTCATTTAACTGGTGGATAGTTTCAAAATCCTTTTTTCCAACCATTTTCAGGATAAATATCGATATTTTAACTTATTACCAGATTGAAATAAGACCTAGATCTTGTTGTTACTTTCTGTTCTCAAGAAAGAATAAGAAAGAAAAAAAAAATAAAAGAATGGGAACAAAAAGGAGTCACTCCTTTTCTATTCACAACTTCAATTTCACCTAATATTTCCATATTACTCTTTTAACTAAAAACTGTCCAACTCTTTCAGAAACCAATCACATTATCAGTTTGGTGTTGTGCGACTGGGAACATATGAGGAGTACATATTTTGTTTACTTTTTCTATGGCTGATGTGATCAACTAATCCATGACCTTGACCAATCATCTTTCAGAAAATCTGATGTAACTAAAAATTCAAGGTCAAACTGAGGTAAACAAAATTTCTTAGAAAAATCAAGAAAAAAGAAAGTATGTTTGAGAAAAAAGAAATGGAAAGTCAAAAAGATAATAAAAATATTGGAGACTTCTTTATTCTTGTTTTTCTAGATTCTTGAATTTTTTGAAAGTCTTTGAAAAATATTTTTTCTTATCAGTTTTCTTCTTATAAAGGTGTTCTTGTCATAAACTTTTTAGGTAGGTTTCTTGTATTTAGTTACAAAAATAAACAAGAAGAGTATTTTGAAAAGGAAAAATAAAACAAGTGATAGATTTTATTCGTTTTGCTAGTTAGAAAACCAGTGTTGTTAAGAAAAGTATATAGACTTTATTATTATAAAGATATAAAATCTTTTGAAAATGTCTGTTTTTTGGGTTGACAAAAGAATCAGCAGAAAGGGTTTTATATTATTTTATAATTACTTAAATATTCTTAAATATTATTTATTTCAATAAAATTTAATAATTTAACTAGTTACCGGTAATAAAAAATAAATATAGCAATTATTGAAAAATTGAATACTATTTTTGTAAATTCAAGGTAAAAAATTTTAAATTTTAAAAATTAAAATATATTAATAAAAAATTAAATTTAAAATATAGTATAGTTGATATTTTTAAAATATATATTTTTTAAATATTGTAAATACACTCTTTAAATACAGTATATTATATTTTGCAATTCAATTTTGAAACTTAATATTTAAATACATATATTATATTATATATATATAATAGATTTTGACAATTCCATAAAAAACTCTTTCTGCTAATTTTTTTGCCAACATAAAAAACAGATGTTCCAAGGAAATTTTTATATTTCTTTATATTAAAGTCTATACATTTTTATTAACAACACTCATACCAAGAGACTACAGTCTCCCT